GTTAAGGGAGTTGTACATCTTCATTACTTTTAGGGGGTCCATGTAGTAGATGAATTCTTGTACCGGTCAATCCATGTAGTAGATGAATTCTTGTACCGGTCAATCCATGTAGTAGACGAATTCTTGTACCGGTCAATCCATGTAGTAGATGAATTCTTGTACCGATCAATCCATGTAGTAGATGAATTCTTGTACCGATCAATCCATGTAGTAGATGAATCCTTGTATGTAAATGAATTTGCATCTTGCGAATATTCCGGAGTACGAACACCTGTTGATTGCCGGCAGCTATCCGGCGTACCACCGAGTAGATAAGCGCTAACACCTAAACGATACCGGGAGCGACCAGCTGATTGTGGAATTTTCGGAAGATACGATCTTTTACACAACCTTTTTTTTATTTGCTTCAATACCGTTAATCTAGTGTAACCTTCCGACGATTTATGATCGGAGCTTTGTATTTTGTTCGCATCAAGTGTTTGAGGTCGTGGCTCTCTTCAAGAGCAACGCACCTGTATTTAACGTATGGGTAAACGAGCCGGCTACGAGTAAGCTATTTTTGGCCCTTCTGGCTCATATAATCGTTCCGAGCGTTGTAGCTTGGGGTTTGCTTTTGTGTTACAGAACTGGAACTTCGAAGGAGAGCTCTTTTTCGGAGAAGACAGCTTATGTGTGATTCAAGGTAAGATTTTTAATTTACTTGTACCCAGTGTTGCCTATATGAGTTGTTATTCGGGTTAACTTAATTCAATCTTTGAATCCATTGAAATCTTAACTACATTTTTGCTCGATCATTGTTGTAGGGGGCTGGTAACGTAATTATTAGGGAAGTGTTCAGGAATTTATTTGGGGATTATTTTTGTCATTTAAAGTATTTGTTATTGTCGTATTGAAGATACATTTTATTTGCCGATCCTGCACCGTTTTGTCAGGATTAATAAATCAGAATTGCTCGTAGTGAATTTATTATTTGGCTCTCTTGTGTTTTCCCAATTTCTATACAGGAGAGGTCAGAATTTGTGCAAAATTGGGTGGCGCTCAACTAATCATTTCTAGTGACTACCAAAGATCAAAAACTTATGTTATATGCCCAAACGAACAAACCGCTGTGGAAGATTCTCATCTCGAGCCCTTCTTTTAATTAAGAATCTGAGCTAGCTGGCCGTTTATGCGGCGGGGTTTGAGTTTTACAGCGCCGAACTAACCTCACGTTATACCGTGTAAATGTGTGTTGTTGAAATTCAAATCTGTTTCCTTTAGCAATTTGACTCGAAATACTGTCGACCTAAAAATGCTCGACTAATTGCTATGCAACAGATTTTCATTACGTAAACAACCCAAATTCACTCGGTAAAATATGGTAAAATACAAACCTCTTGTGAAAAGTTGTGAACTCATGCTTTTGCATGAGAGGGGTGAAAGAATGATTTTGCCTTTGTCGTCGCGGAGACGATACAGCCGCTCACCGATGGCGTCTAAGATCACTCCGTGGCTGAGGGTCACATGGTGAGCGTACCGGCTCTCTCGACCTGACGAAATTCTAAGACGTGCGTAGACAGCGACAGAAAACACGCTCTGCTCGCTGGGTGGAGTAATGCGTATCACGAAGAGTACGCGAACAGTTTTAGTGAGAAAAGCCGCAAATAGCTTCCGCCAACTTCAAAAAACTTCACGATTCTTTAAGAACATGTCCTATGTTCGTGTGTATCTGTGACCACAGGTACGCGCTTTTAATAACTCTCTTACGACGAATGAGTAGCTCCAGTGTTAAATTAAACAATTATGGCTCAGGGTACCTCCTATCATATCATATCACTGTAATAATACGAATATTAAGGAATTCGATTTGTGCAAACTTTAGCGCTTTAATTTTGTTTCAGCGACATCTAACGCATAAATCCATAAGCGTCATATTACAGTTTTAAACGATACATGTTTATACTGCTCCGCAATAGAGGGCGCTTTTAAGTATACCTAAATTTGTTTTCCAAAAAATGCATAAGGTTAGCAATCTGTGTATGTGTAGATCTGTGGCGAAACTGTACACATGTATGATCACAGCCGTCTATAATTACAAGCCATGCTGAGAAGTTTTGCAACGTTGTCTCAATCGGTGGGCCGATATAAGTTTTAATGGCGTCTTGTTGCTCTTGAAAATTGGCATTTTTCCTCTCTCCTGTGTTTCGCCTTGGTGGTTTTAATACAGAAGAAAGATACTTAGGCAGCTTACAATTGTGCATATATATTATTTATTTACAAAAATGGATAATAACATTTTTATTTGACTTTAAATTTCGGAACGCTGTAAAGTGGTAACTGCATCATAATGTGTTTTCCATCGAGATCTCTGAAATTGGTGAACTTTTGTCGAAAGAGGTCGAGGTGAAGCACACGCTTGAGCACTTAATTTCGGCAAAAAGGCAGTAAATCGCTGTGCATCAGCGAGGTTTTGTCAACGGCAAGGTGTGATTCGGAATGGCAGACTTTAAGCCGGTCGCTACTCCAGTGGGTCTAAGTGCGAAGCTTTTAAAGAGGGGGGCCCTGTAGGCTTCAAATTCCCGTACCGTGAACTCTTGGGAATAAGTCGGAAGGTTCCTTCAGAAAATCAACTTGACATGTCCGTGCTAGAATATCTGAAATACAAACTAATAAAATAATAATTGTATTCTTTCACGGTAAACACTTACCGTACTTACGTACCACGTAGTGTGTAAGTCATATTTGAGCTTGTACAAGTACTTTGAACAAATACAAGTGCGTGTAAAGGGTCCAGTAAGGTGTAGCCTGCTTTAGAGGTTATGACAACAAATCGATATATTTCGTTTAGCAACTTACCTGAATAATAATTTCTGTTCATTCCATACAGAGTAACACAAATTGTTGCATTATCGCTCTGTTAAAACAGGCAAATAGGAATATTACACCCAAAACACATATAAAATACACCTGAAATCTGCCAGTTGAATTAGGAAATCGGCCTACCATGCAGTGTTGCCATAATTCTCAGCACGGCTTGTAAATATAGATGGTTGTGGTATGATAAACAATGGTATAAATATTCGTAGACTATAATAATTGTTAACTGCTTACTTTTGTTGAAGCTAACTAATTCTTTTTTTCTTTTTTTGCAGGTAAGTCTTTAATGGTTTGTGATACCTACGTGAAGTGATTCTTTTAACCTTCCAGTAGTTGCGCAATAATTTTTAATTATACTTGAAACCTTGTGTGAACTTACCGAAGTGAAGAAACGAAGAACTTTAAGTTTAAAGGTTGTCATATTTATGGCGCCACGCGCCCAGTGACCGAGTACTCAATAATTTGGACGCTAGACTTCGGCACTAACCCTGGTTCGAATCCAGATCAGCAAATTTAAGAGTGTTCTCGAAAAAGGGTATTCTCTTAGCTGATCTTGTGAGTTGTTTAAGATCATAAAAATTCGTAATATCAGCCCAATTACTCGCCCTTTTGAAGATATAGATGTTGTCAAGGTAAAGTTCAAAGGTCACCTGCCACGTGTGGGTGATGTTGGAAAGTAGGTGTCCAATGACTCCATTTTTTATGGAGTGATTTCATCTTCAAGGCAATCAGAGATCAATGGTTCCATCTTTGTAGGTCAAGGTTAGGTATAAAGGTTACTCGCCTCTTTCAAATGACCTTGAAGGTTGATCAGCACCTGGGGGTGACCTTGCAAGGTGAAACTCAAAGGTGCGTTCGATGGTTCACCCCTAAGCATTTCCCCGGGTCACGTGGAAACTTCAGATTGACAAAGCGGTGGTGGTGCATTATCCCTTTCTATAACATACCTACATGCGTAAATTAGCTTCAAAGAACCGTTTAGGTAAACTGCGTATAATTAATATTGGAAAATATCTTTAGGGGTTCGATTGTTACAGTCCCACTAATGGGTAGACTACCAGTGAAATTTAAACAAACCCATTCAACCTGAGTTCGTGAGAGTGGTGCGGACAGTCCAATCTCAAATTAAAGGATTGATTTGTCAGTTTGCTCAATATATTCGAAACAATCAAAGCGACATAACTTAAAATTCTTGTGATATCTAGTGATTAAAATACCAACAATTGAATCCTATTATTCTGTATGAATCGTTAAAGTTACCATTGTTGCGCTATGTTGAAAATTACTCTTTTTAATCCAGTATGCAGCACAATCGTTTAATTGGTTTCCATATAACGAAATATGGTTTAAAGAGGTGATCTTGAAAAGTAGGTCAAGTGAAGTTTAAAACCTCCCTCTGGTGGTGACTTTGAGGAGGTATGGGTGAAGAAGCTCAAAGCTCGCCAGGGTCGCTTCTGGACCGGCGCTTACCACCTGGCTATGGAATTAAGTCAAGGTGAGGTTTAAGAGTTGTGTACTGTACAAAAGGGCTTCGATAACAAACAATGTAAATGGACTGTATTTATAAATTGCTTCCAATGCCTTTTACGAGTATGATAGGAATGAAAGAGTACAGACACAAAGGGTAAACGTGTTTTTTCACTACTAGCGTCTGATGACATGATTATTAACCTTTTTTCCACTTGTGAAGTATGTTAAAATATAAAAAGGTGAATAGTGTGCTGAAAAAAGTGAAGTGAAAATCGCGCGTTGGTGCACAAATGATGTAAAGATTTGAGAGACGATTATTTACGTTTAGTTAATCTGTGATTGAATTATAGTGCATTTTATGTTAATAAAGTATTCATTAAACATTTAAAATAACAGGTTATGGCAGCCCAGAACGTTTAGTAAAAAAAAAGTTTGACAGTGACGTGAGTGGAAAATGATTCGCCAACAAATCGTAAGTTTCCCTTATATTTTAAAACGGACTGAAATCGACATATAATTAGTGTACCGATCGCGTTAATGCTAAATGAAATACGATATTACGAAAACGAAATAAACATTGCACCGATAGGTAACGAATTAGACGAACGCGTTTTACCGAGCGTTTTACAATCGCGAAATTTTGAAACGTACGTAAATTAGTAAACGCATATAAAATGAACGATTTATCGCACCATATCTCGAAACTGAACGACGACAATTATTCATCGTGGAGCATTAGAATAAAAAGTTATGCGACAATGAAAAATCTAGATACGGCTTTAACGGACGGAAATTTCGCAACGAAACCAGAAAACAAACAAGCAGACGATAAATGCAGAGCCCTAATTGTTTTGAATGTGGACGACCGCAATCTATCTCAAATCGACGAATGCAGCACCGCATACGAAATGTGGAAAATTCTGGAAAACGCTCATGCCAAAATTGATAATTTTCACGCGATATTATTAAAAGAATTCGTGAATTCAGAGAAGAAAACAACGGAATCAATCGATGAATACGTCTATCGCAAATGTGAGATTCAGAAGAAATTAAATGAGCGCGGATTAAAATTCGACGAAAAAATCAAAATCGGTATTATTCTAATCGGATTACCGGAAACGTACGAGCAAACTATCCGGACCATAGACTTAAGCAAAGAAGATTTAACATTAGACCAGATTAAAACGAAGTTACGTGAAGAAGAAAAGTTGATCAAGAACAAAAATTCCTCAAACGAACACGCAACGATTAATATAGCAAAACGAAATAACGAAGCAAAAACTGAACCTCGCGAACGTGAAAGTCAACAGAAAAATTGGAGAAACGAACGAACCCAGGAACGTACATATGGGGAAGAAAATTCTAGATGCGAAACGTCATATCAATCGGAAAGCATTAAATGTTTTCGATGCAACCGTTACGGACACATCGGACGTTTTTGTCCACGATACGGAGATGATACGAACGGAAATAGAAATAAAATCGAAGCTCAAGGCCAAAAGAATAAAAAGGAAAATTCTCGAATCACCGTGTGTCAAACCAATTATGTCGCAAACGAAAAGAAAGAAGAATGGATAGTAAGACAGCGGATCCACAGATCACATTTCAAACGACAAGAAGAAATTCACAAAAATGAAGATGGAGAATCGAAGCATAAGATGCGCGGGAGAAGAAATATTAAAAGGAGAAGGCATAGGAGACGTAAACGTAACATTGGTCCAGAATCGAGAAAAACGAGAGATAATCTTAAAAGATGCGCTTTATGTTCCTAAATCGACAAACAATCTAATATCTGTGTCAAAACTGTGCGACGACGGAAATTCTGTTAATTTTGACGGTATCGCAGTAACTGTTAAAGACAAAACGAATAAAACGGTAATGTTTGGAAAAAGAGACAACGACATATACAAAGTAACGGAGGACATTTCTCGAGCAACATGCAGTGAATGGAACGAATGGCACGCAAGACTAGGTCATCCAAGTAAAAATGAAACAAGAGAATTGGCAAATTTATACAATCTCAAGATTAATGCAATGCAAAAATCCTGCGACACGTGTAATGTATGCAATATTAAAAGAAAGAAATTCCCTCTAATGATGGCAAATAGAAGAAGAAATTGTTTAGACCTGATACATAGTGACGTAATCGGGCCAATAACTCCATATTCCAGAGGAGGAAGGAGATACGTCGTGACATTTATCGATGACCACAGCCGATATGCCGAGATCTATACCATCACACACAAGAGCGAAGTTTTAAACAAATTTATTGATTACCAAAAGAAGGTCGAACGGATGCATGACAGGAAAATTAAAGAATTGAGAAGCGATAACGGAGGCGAATATTTAAATAGGGATTTTGAAACTTATCTACGAACACAAGGTATCCGAAGGGAGCTGACCACGCCATATACGCCACAGCAGAATGGAGTGGCAGAACGTTTGAATCAAACACTTTTAAATATAACAAGATGCCTCATGAACCAATCGGGAGCCTACGACGATTTCTGGGGTGAAGCAATATTGACTGCAAATTACATTCGAAACCGAAGAACAACTACGAGTAACGAAGGAAAGACGCCATACGAAATATGGAGTAATAGAGTAACAGGAGTAACTCATATGAGAAGTTTTGGATGCAAATGTTGGTACAAAAACAATCAGCCCAGACAGAAATACAAGCCTCAAGGAAAGGAAGGGATTTTTATTGGATACGAACCCTATTCCAAAGCTTATCTGATATGGGATCCAATACAAGAATGTCTAATTATAAGCAGAGACGTGAAGTTTGATGAAACAAGATTCCCAATGAAGGAAGATAACAATAACGATAAAAACGAAAATGAAGTAATATGGAATCGTTTTATCGATCCATTCATAGATGACGAAGAGCATAGTATGAACGAGTCGAACGATGAAAATAAGGAAAATAATAATGAAGACAAACGAAGCGAAACGAAAAACGAAAACGAACAAGACGATGACAGTGATGAAACGAAAAACGAACACGAGCAAGAAGTGAGTAATCAAGAAAATGATGAGGACAACGACGAAGAAAGAAATGAACTGCAACGTGAAGAAGTAACTACGACTAGGAGTGGGAGAATCAGCAAACGACCTGTATGGCTAGAAAATTACGATACCACAGGACAGACGTCATACGTCATTGCCGAATACATATCAGAAACCGAACCAAAAAGTTACAACGAGGCCATGAAAAGTAAAGAAAAGTACGATTGGCACGAAGCAATACAAGAGGAGTACGAAAATTTGATAAGTAACGATACGTGGAATATAGTTGAACGACCCAGAGACGCAAAGATTCTAAGAAGTATGTGGATATTTAAACGAAAGTACGATGACTGCGGACGAATAATGAAATACAAAGCACGACTTGTCACTCTAGGTAATCATCAAACTAAATATGTAGATTACGAGAAAAGTTTTTCACCAGTAATCATGAGAAAAACGATGCGAATATTATTAGCCATAAGCGTAAGAAAAAATTGGGAAATAAACCACATCGACGTAAACTGTGCATACTTAAATGCGAGACTGGATGAAGAAACCTACATGGAGATACCAGACGGATTCCACGAAAATTTAAACAAGAAGAAGTATGTTTGCGAACTGAAAAAAAGCCTGTACGGTCTACATCAATCGGGATATTTATGGAATCAAGAGATTAACGAATTTTTGAAAAAGATTGGGATGCAACGATCAAGAATGGACCCTTGTCTTTACTACAACACGGAAAGAACTCTGATCGTGACTCTATATGTAGACGACATGGTCTTACACGGATTGAAGACAGAAATAGAAAAATTGAAGAACGCGTTAAGTAAAAATGTCAAGATCAAAGATCTAGGCGAAGCAAGCAGGGTTTTATCGATCAAACATTAAACGATTCAACGGATCACTGAAGATAGATCAAGCGGCAACACCGTTAGAACTTGGAGCAAAATACACGAAAAACATGGCTGAAATAAATAACCGAGTAAAAGGCATGTATGAAAAAATAGTTGGAAGCTTATTATACTTAGCCACCAACACGAGGCCAGATATTGCTTTCGCAACGTCCTATATGAGCCAATTCACGATAAATCCAAGTCAACAACACCTACAAGGAATAAAACGAATACTAAGGTATTTAAAGGGAACCTTAGACGTGGGAATAGTATATACGAAAGATGAGAAGGAAACAAACGTTAAAATTTACACTGACTCAGATTGGGGAAGTGATTTAAACGACCGCAAATCATATAGCGGATATGTATCAATAATGAGTGGAGGACCTGTGTCATGGACGAGCAGAAAACAACGAACTGTAGCACTCAGTAGTGCGGAAGCTGAATTACTTGCTTTATGTGAATGTGTCAAAGAGACGATTTGGTTTAGGCAGCTATTCGAAGAACTGCAAATAATCTATGATGTGAGCCGACCTTGGAAAATATACATGGATAACATGGCTGCACAGAAACTGGCAGAGAACGAGACAACATCGGAGAGAAGCAAGCACATGGACATAAAAACGTTAAAGATAAGAGATGACATCAAGGAAGGAAAAATTTTCTTGAAGTACGTACCAACTGAAAGGAACTTGGCGGATTCATTCACAAAAATTTTGAGCAAAGAACGGACAACACGACTGAACGGATTGATGGGAATTGATTTCAAGTACGAAAGGAAATCAATTCAGGAGGGGTGTTAAAATATAAAATAAATGCTTTCTCGGCATTTGTTCAAAGTGGTTAATAATGTGGACATTATCACAGAATAAGACCCTTCACAGAACAGAAACATAAATGGCGCTAAATTGTCACTGATTACAGCGTTTCCCGTGGTTGTACGGAGAACTATTTATCGCAGACTCAAATATTTTTTTTGCAAAACCTGTAATTTTGCTCGTTACAGGAAATATTTTTATCGTCGATTTTATACGTACACATGGTTTAACACATGTCAATATTGACTTTTGAAAGATTTAAAATATGAACAAGTTATGTGACCGTAAAAGTGTTGTGTGGCGGATTGTAACGATAAAATATCAAAAAGGCATCGTTTCCCATGTTTTTAAACAGATTGTTTTGTGCTTGAAACGCGAAGAGGGTTGAAATGTGCTGTTATTTATCTCCTATTTATGCAAGGTATGGAATTTATAAATTACCAGCTGTAGAGGCGCAAAAGGGTGTAGACTTGAGTTTTATATTTAAGTATATAGACGTAGATACTTATATTGTAATTCCTTTTAGACAATGAATAAAAAATACGTTTCACTTCCACCCTCGCTTCTCAAGTAACAAGTAAGCACCAGGATCAAGTTAACATTTGTTGTCAAAAACTTGTGTGACAATTTGCTGAAACGGTTTTATTACCTCTTGGAACAAAAAATTTAGTTCTAAAGATATTTTTTAACAAAAGTATGTAGTCCAAACAGCAATTAAAACCAAATATTTCGTACGACAAATCGTTATGTAAGGATCTTTCTGCAAAGTGTTAACATCTACAAAGCGTAAGTTCCACTCACTTCTGAGTTTTATGTAACTTGTAAACATGTAATTTAGGTTCTCTGTGTTAAATAATGTAATGTGATTGTATCTAAATACACTTTAATTTAACAACTGTGTATTTTTTATTGATATTTATGAATTAGATCGAATTGGGGAAATTACTTCATGACTTTAGAAGCTGGTCACCAGATGGCGCTACTCTGATTTTGATGCTTTAGTTCGTTCACAACCCGAAATTTCGCTCAATGAACGTTTAGACAAGTTCTCTAAAACGAATAATTGCCACCATTCGCAATTTCCAGAGAAATTATATACCTAAAATTATCACATTTTGAAAAAATTCGAACGAAATTACTCTTTGAAAAATCTCAATGACAGAACAAAATACGGCCTGTTTGACTTGTACTTCCACGTACTTGTTTGACATGTTAAATTAAGAAACAAACAATTCTGTCCAACCGTTAACTCTCTTATCAATATAATATGTTAATTTAGAGGATTTCAAGTGCTAGTAGTGAAAAAATAGTATATATACCACGGTAGAGAAGTCTATTATTGCCTTCGCACCTTACACCCCTCGGCGCAAGCGCCTCGAGATGTAATCTTGGTGCTCAGGCAATAATAGTGGACTTCTCTACCTTGATATATAATGTACTATTATTATAAAAAATACAAAGTAAATAAATTTCTGCTTAATATGGGTGGCATAGGCACAATGCACTATTAGAAAATGACAAAGTTACGAAAGGATCATGTAAACAAAGGAACTTACGTGGTGACGATTGCTCTTTGGTGAAAAATGTGCGATTTTCGATGGTTGACGCTTTGCTTCTTAACAAAGACGTTCATGATGGTTTTTGAAAACTGCACGGCCACATCTTGATTTCTTGATCCATAGTAACGACTAAAGCTGGTCGGCCATTGATGAACGGCGGCTTCTACGTATACGAATCGACGGGTTCTCAATGATGAATGCGACTTTTCTTGACCTACTTTCTAAGGTCACAAACGTTCCAAGGCAAAACCAATAGAGCGCTTGGGGGAAAGGGCAAGTCTCTTGTACCTCGCCTTGATCTACTTACTACTCAGGGTCACCGCCAGGTGGTGAACGACGTTGAACGGTTCAGATACGTCTCCGTATCACTAGGTTTAATAAAAAAATTAACCTGTAAATATATATAAATATCAAGTGCCAAATTTGACTACCTCTTTTCATGTTAATTCATATGCACATCAGTGGGGTGGGATAAAAAGTGAAAAAATACTCCGGTTTTTTTTATTTTTTTCAATAAAAAACAACGGCTACAAAACCGGAGGTCGGGTGTTCGGACCTGGACTGAGGTAGGAATTTTTCATCTGTGGCAGAGATGTGAATTTCCTTAGATCAATTTCGAGCACTCTGCCGGCTACTCCGAGTAGTATAGAACAACTTAAGATCTTGTGCAGGGGCACCTCTAATAAGCATTATGCGGATCACTCTGTAATTGGGCGTAAGCCTTTTGTGGGCCTAGAACAAGAGGGACAAATAAAATAAACACAAATAAAATGCTTAGTTAAAATAGTATAAAAGCCATAAAATAGTACATTATATATCAAGGTAGAGAAGTCCACTATTATTGCCTGAGCACCAAGATTACATCTCGAGGCGCTTGCGCCGAGGGGTGTAAGGTGCGATGGCAATAATAGACTTCTCTACCGTGGTATATATACTATTTTTTTCACTACTAGCACTTGAAATCCTCTAAATTAACATATTATATTGATAAGAGAGTTAACGGTTGGACAGAATTGTTTGTTTCTTAATTTAACATGTCAATCAAGTACGTGGAAGTACAAGTCAAACAGGCCGTATTTTGTTCTGTCATTGAGATTTTTCAAAGAGTAATTTCGTTCGAATTTTTTCAAAATGTGATAATTTTAGGTATGTAATTTCTCTGGAAATTGCGAATGGTGGCAATTATTCGTTTTAGAGAACTTGTCTAAACGTTCATTGAGCGAAATTTCGGGTTGTGTTTTCTAAAAGTGACAGCGTGACAGTTCTCATTATTGACTACTAGTTAATAATAAAAAATTATTAACCACTTTGAACAAATGCCGAGAAAGCCTACTTTACAAGTGGAAAAAAGGTTAATAATCATCATCAGACGCTAGTAGTGAAAAAAAATATTTTCTAAACGCATTATGCAATAATAATTAAACAATTCCATTGAAGAGCATACAATGTCCCTATCCTTTTAAATGGGCCACATCAAATTAGAGAATTTAGACCACTTAAATAGCCTTTATTAACAAATGACACTCATCGTTTTATTGTTATTTTGTATCGATGGTTGGTATAATAAATTGGGTAATGGTTTAAGAAATGTACGTGAAGTGCATAGGACTCAATTTTTTAGCATCACCCGCCAACTTAAGCGCGACACATTTCCCATAGTAGGGATGAACTTATTTATTTTGCGATTTTTCATTGAACAAAGTTTCATTTATGATGATTTTGTATTTTAATTTTAATTTAGAGATTACAATAATGTGACTACCACAATGTTGATTGGCATTGGGTCAGTAGTTGTCCTTTAAATGTCCTAAAATTCGATCTAAAATTTCTAATGCTTTGATAATAATAATCTTTATTCTTCTTCTACGAACTTATTAATGAAATTGAAAAAAGATTAAAAAAAACCAGAGAAAAATTACAAGTCCTCGTATTCCGTTCTACCACTTAAACCTCGACAAAAACTAATAAATGTAATACCTATATTTCAAAGAAAAATTGGCGTGGTATATTTACATACATAGGTAGATTGTATGTCGGTATTCTCTTAGAAAAATCTCCCTGTATATTTGTCTTTCTGTAAATATCTCAAAGTACCGATATCCATAATAGTACCTAGCGTAAACTATACCTACACAGCACAAGAACCACACCATTCTATAACAAGATACGAATCATCGTATACCATTTTCAGTAAAGGAATTTTTGAACACAGTTCACATTCGGAAACACGACTTTTCATCCGGCTCATATTCAAGATGACTGAAGCTTGAACTCAAAGAAATCGATGGCGAAGGTTTGACGCTGTCTCTTTTCGTTCTCGAGTTAGACGTCGAACATACGGGCAGAAAAAACCATCACATAAGTGACATTTTTAGCATTTAAATCGAAAGGTGGTGTTTTCTGCATAATTTAAAGCTTAATTCTAATAAAACAACAATTATCAATTTTTCATTACGCCAACCAGACGATGGCGCATCCACTAGTGTCCGCTCTACTTACTTTTTGGGGTGTCTACTGGATCACCGCCTTAATTTTCATCTACATTGTGAAAACATCTGCAGACATATTAGCAAACTCACATTTTTGTTGAGGAAATTAAAACTCACTGCATCTATCAGAGTCATAAAAAATGCCTACTTCGGCCTGGTTCATAGTACACTCAGCTATGCGGTTCTCGCATGAGGTCATTGCTCATTTTGGAAACATGTGTTCAAGCTACAGCGCAGGTGTATTAGAATTATAGCAGGCTTAGGTTACCGCGCCGACTGCCGTAAAACATTTGTTGAGCTAAACATTTTAACACTACCATGTGTATACATATTAGAGGCAGTATGTTATGCTAGGTCTAATATCTGTAATTATAGTTACCAATCTGACGTGCATTATCACAACACTCGACATCGGAATAATATTAGGAAAAAATTTTGTCGACTCACCATCACTCAAAATGGTTTAATTTACCAATCTCAAAGTTTGTTTAATAGCATTCCGATGTCTGTTAGATCTGCAAGTTTAAAAAAATTTAGAACAACAGTAAAAAACTTTCTGATGTCTAGTGCTTTTTACTCCCATGAGGAGTTTCTGGAATCTAGCTATAAGATGGAACTGATATGATTGTATTATTGTGATTTATGTAGTTGGTTATTAATATTAATTGTGTTATGTTTTATATCGTTGTTATTATGTTATATTGTTGACAAGTGTAAATGCCTCCTAAGGCGTAATGCATACAATCAATTCAATTCAATTCAATTCATTGGAAATGCTTAATGTTTGGTGTATGGGTATGAAGTTACCTGTTTAGTCAAGCAGAAAAGAAGACAGTAGTGTCGTGTCAAGTGGTGATTGTACCGTACTCTACCGCAATCGGTAGATTAAAGAAAAGTCGCGGATACTGTCAATACGGTACTTACTTATAATAGTGCGCAATCGATTTGTTAATTTCAATCTAAAATTCTCGCACATCTCATTTAATAGGATTACGAGCATGTTATGATGAGGCTTATAATTATTATTCAGAAAGCGTACGTTTGCGACACGAGCGAGCTTGCGAGCGAGTGGAGCAAGTATCCCGAGTGAATAAGGCTTATTTGTGTTTTACATAATGATGGCGTTATACGGTTATCATTTCCAATGTTTCCGTCTTTCCGATGGTTGCATGGATTGCGAAATCTGTAATTTTTTCTTTCGAAAAGATCCCCTAGAAAGGGGTTTTTCACATTGCAAGTCGATGACCCGTCCAAATTATCTCGTTGCGTTTTAGTGAGCTATTTTATAGCTAAGTGCAAATTCACTCTTCTGATGCAGATCATTGCCATTACCCAAATGTCTAGCTTTAACGTTGTGGGCGTCATGCTAAAAGCTAACAATTCTTTTATCTATATTTATGTCGCGTATACAAACATACCCTTTAGTTTGAAAAACTGAAGTCTGAAACATTTCGTTTTCAACGTACAAAACTAACCCAACACCGCAACCTCCCACCTGTTTTTTTTATGGGAAATCGAAGTGTCATTAGCATAATAAAAAGACAAGATATAAAACTATTTATTACATATCTATATTACATGCGCCATTAAACAAGCCACTAAAGATAATTTTATCAATCCTGTAAAGAAGGTAACATTTTATGAGATTCCTTAAAACTAAATAAAAATGCCATCCACAAAAATGTTAAATGTAGACCAATACGTATCTATATACAGTAGCAGATCGAACGAGTCATAAATAAATTATGGATTAATCTCGTGATTCTGATTATGCAATTGTATTGTGCTTTTGTGTTACTTTTAAATGGCATATAGCTGCACTGGAATGCCTATTTGCTTTGAACAATGTACAATTGAAGAAAATCGTGGACTGTTAGCAAGGTTTGATTAAATTAAATCCATAACTAACGGTGAAATGCATAAAAGGGTATTATATGTAAATAAGATAGAATCGAAACATTCACATAAAATAAGTGAGTAATGTAACACCAATAGCTGCAATAGTTTATTGTAAATTTGCTAATGTCGCCACTAATACTGTACCATTGCCAATAAACGATTAACTGACGCAGTAGGTTATTAATTAGAAGCCCTCTTGAGATTAAACGTAGCCTTACGAAAAAAGGTCTAGTTAGTATCGTATCGTTAACATAAAAAAATGGGTATTTGTAATTAACTACCGCGCAGCAGCGCGGAAATTACTTACAAAGAATAATCAATTTACATTATTCTATAGAGAACTGGAATTTCACCATACAAAGCACTCGAGGACAATCTCAAAGTCGATTATTCTAAAATTCTTACATGCCTCATACACAATGTAGCAAATTATTAGTAACAAAAAGGCAAATAAAGCACGCTATCTGGAAATGGAAATAATGTAAAACGGTAGTTGTAAAGGTAACTTATGCATTGTTTATTAGAATTGTTAATGTTTCAGGTAATATACAACTTCTACTTTCAGATGCAGCCTTGAATAGAAAAGTTCAAGTAGTTGCAGACCGTGCGCCAACCAAAGGCGCAATTAATTGCCTTAGCCGGTAGAAATTGATAAATAAATCGACATCGTATAAAATTTCTCCAAACATTATTTGAGGAAAACACGTTTGATGAAGCAAGAAATGGATTTGACGCATGTATAGCGATGCTGATTGAAACCGTGCCACTAAACCGAAAATTATGCAAATTGCAGAACATAAAAAGATCGCTAAATCGCGCACGTAAATTGGAGAATTCGGTATCTTTGGCATTTGCTTGGTTTCGATGGAGTCATTGATCTCCTGCACGCGGATGATACTTGCATTGCAACAATCGCCGTAAATATAACGCTAAAATTTCTTTTGTCCAAATTTTTTAGGGTCGATTAAAGAGTACCTATTGCATGAGTGAAATATAATTGTTACCTAATTCCTAAATATATTATATTAATGGGGTTCCAGGCAGTGCCTAATCTATTATCTTACCTCTGTTATTTTGTTTTTAAGAGTACCGTATACTCAGACTAATTTCTTACTCCACCGATCAGCTTTATACAGCTTATGTGATTACGTTAGGAGTAGGACTTAGAAAGAGAAGGCAGACCAGGTACGACAGTAACATTTAAAACCAAATCTTCGTTATCAAAGTGCACGTGAAGTAACTGAAATTACGTATTATTATATCAGTTAAAGTTAAATTAAAAATTTAATGTATATTTTTGTCCACAACTTTGGCGATTTTTTGTATTGTGTATCGTATGGGCGCGAGTGCCACTCGGACGTTTTCAGGACGTATCAACCGCCGTTTTTGTGACCTAACCTAACGACAGTAACGTAGTATGGGTATAAAAGTCACATACTAAAAAATTTTCCATCTTTCTGACAAATAACTTCCTCCTTTCTTTTCTGCTTCATGGAAGAAAGTAGATTGAATTCAAGTCAAGGTTTGCATTCCACTAAACCATGGTTTTCAATTGTCCGTTTTAGATCTGCATAGGATCGGGGCCATTCTGACAAAATGTGATTTGCACACTATACCCACTTGAAATGGAGCAGGGTCAATGGTATATTATATATCAAGGGACACCAAAGTGCGCGTTTTAATTCCGCGGCTACCTACAGTTCCCTGAACGATTAGGACGCACTTTGTAGTTTTGGCTACCCAGAGGAATAATTTGCTTGGGGGTGTGATTTTAATTTTTTTTAAATATGGCATTTAGCGAAGATCAATCAAAAATTTCATTTTTTCGATAAACTACATAAAAAAAATTATCTGATTTTGGTACATTTTTAAATAGAACCAGTTTATCTATCATTTTCGTGAAAACAAAAACTCAGTTATTTCAAAAACTTCTTAACCGTTTGACCGATTTTAACAAATTTGGTATCATTGAAAAGAGCATTCCTTGGGCAACAAGAATCAACCAGGGGGTTAGTTTTGACACTATGATCCAAAATCTTAAAAAAAATCAAATGGAATGATATGACTTTTTCTTTATGAAAAAGTAGCAAAATAACACCCAAAGAGGCCAGTGAAAACCGTTTTTCAAAATCTCGTTCCTAACCTCAAATATTGGGAAAATGAGATTAATTAAGTAATTAATAAAAATGCTTAAATTGTATCTTATTTGACGTATTTCCGTATTTGTCGATGGCGCGAAAGATTGTTTGGAAAAGGACTCTACACTTTTAGGTAGGCCTTGGAAAATTAAACAAATGAAACACGATGCATTATAAAATAATAACAGTTTAATTTTCCAAGGCCTACCTAAAAGCGTACGGTGCTTTTCTTTCGCTCATTGAGAAATACCGGAAATACGTAAAAAGCAACTTAAGCATTTTAATTAATGAATTAATTAATCTCATTTTCCCAATATTTGAGGTTTGAAACGAGATTTTGAAAAACGGTTTTCACTGACCTCTTTGGATGTTATTTGGCTACTTTTTCATAAAGGATAAGTTATATCATTCCATTTGATTTTTTGTGTCATAATGTCAAAGAAGCTCCCTGGCGGAGAAGGATTCAACTAAATTAACTATATTTTGGTTGATTCTCATCGCCCAAGGAATGCTCTTTTCAACCATACCAAATTTGTTAAAATCGATCAAACGGTTAAGAAGTTAGAGCAGGTTATTACAAAAACAATTGAACGCCCCACACCATCTTTGTTTTTGAAATAACTGAGTTTTTGTTTTCACGAAAATGATAGATAAACTGGTTCTCTTTAAAAATGTGAAACAAAATTGTTTAGTTTATTATGCGAAATTTAAAGAAAATGCAATTTTAAAATTTAAGATAGCAGTTACGCCCTCTGTTGGTCATTTTTAGAACTTGAAAATATTTTCCAGCGATTCTTTATGACCAATTACCCAATAATTTTTTTACCCCTAAGTCATATGACGAACGGTTCTCGAGATATGGCCGAGGGTCACCCGGTACATCGAAACCGGAAATTGGTCACTTCGGTATTAATACGGTAACGCTTTGTAATATTCAAGTTTGAAAATTATAGCAGCCGACCGATCGTTTCTTTCACGTCATGCAGTTCTCTTTTTGCATAAATCAGTCACGTATTATTAATTTACTTCTGCTGGGAGCTCGTAGCGAATTTAGAAGGCACCACCTTCGTTAAACTTGTTAAAAATGGCGTAACTGTCTCCGGTTGTGAGAACAAAACGATTCCCCGCACACAGAGGTTATACGGTTTTCGGTTCGAACTTTTCAATGAAGTTTTACGCGATCTATAACTCATTCGCGTTCACAATATGAAAATTTGCACCGACGGCGACGCGACGGTTCAGGAAAAAAATACGCGGTTGAAAATAGTAGCGCTCGACCGGCATAGTTTCTCTTCGTACACTTGGGTAAGAATCCCGCTCTCCAACCAGATTTTTACTTAAATACCTCGCCGCTAATTTCTTTCGGAAAACAATTCGTGGTATGCATTTTTTGTACAAAGTTGATCTTGGTTATAATTTGGGATATAATTATAGAGTTTAAAAACTCGCCTCTTATTGTATAATGCTATCGCTTTCGATCCAACACAAGCCGTTTGTAAAATACAAGCTGTATTTATAAATAATATATTTCAAATTATTGTGAATAAATATGTATTCTATGCACAGTCCTTTCGAATGTCGATTAAATGTCGGGAAAAATCTGCCGATAGTTTGATTACTGTTGATAGTAAGTATATTGTTGGCCAATTATTAAGATTGAATCGTTTAAAATCCCAACTCGGCCCGTGTAGCGCACAGTTGAGTGGAAGCTCGATTGCTGTACTAAGGATTCCTGGTTCGATTCCGGGTTCAATGTGGATATTTGTAAATGTATAGTGGGTTGGGTTGGTAGAGCTGAAACCCTGCCCACTTAAATATAAGTGCCAAAAAATAAAATAAATATATGCTCATATCGGTCATATCAATTATGCACTATGGTGGGCATGTTCGTCCTTAGATCGATATGTTGTTGCCATCATTTTTTTTATTGATAATGTTATAATAATTCATAGTGAAGTTAATTAAGTTATTGTTATTAAAATCCTGTTAAGATCGCGTGTTCCCAGCGCATAGGTCCAGTTGCTCAACATAAATGAGTTGTAGCAAACATATTTAAAATATCATTAAAATGAAAGGATAACCTCCAGCTGTTTAAATTAAATGTTTACCATTGGAGTTCAATAATGTATATCTCATATTTATTTTCGCAAGTAAATGTAGGTCAGGAGGATTCAATTTTAATTTGTTTTCCTTTCTCAATAAAACAGAAAAGGTTTGATGTAATAATAAAATTACTAAGATATAAATTGACTCAACCTTTTTTAGGTACCATTTTTGTGGACTCAAAGTCGTATTGTAGGTATTCGTGGATCAAAATTTACTTTTATAGATGGTATTGTACGTAATGCTTATGCCATAGATGTTGCAGGGATAAAAACGAAGTCGGGTTTTCAAAGAAAATAGCAAATATGAATTCGTATGGTTGTTTACAAGTTAGAATTAACGTTTCCACTTTTAAAATCAAACAATGAATGAATTTATTTATATATATTAAAAAAAAACAAATATAATACTTATTAACGAGCTCCTAGCGAGTTTAAAATTTTGCGGTGTCTGCCTTTCTGTCCGTCCGTCCGTTAGCACGATATCTCGTAAACGAATTGACCGATTACGATGAAATTTAGTAGATGAATTCTGTATCAAATTTGTAGATCGGAGTTCGTGAATTGGCAATGTAACCTAAAAAATAAGGAAGGCCCTTTTGACTTCTCCGTGAGTTATGAACCGAATTGCATGAAATTCAATATGCGTATAGCTTTAGGCATATAAAACGCAATTCCAAAAGTTGAGGATAATCGACCATTTATAAACCGAATTGCAAACTTTCCTATTTGTGAAAGCATTTAAATGAAATTTAATACATAGCCATTTGGAATAAAAGCAAATATAACACCAGTTTCAAAATTTGGTGTTGCGCATGCGCAGTGCCAACTTTCTTATTTATGGAGGCCAACATGTCTCGTATTTCGACATAAGATAAATTACCAATAATTTCTGACTTGTGTGTTTGCAACACTCATTCTCACCACGTAAGAAATTGCTAAAACTTACACAGTGGTAGAAACTAGAAAGTTTAACAGAGCCATTTCAAAGTATTTAGAATTTTTTTAATTAAAACAACTTGCAGTTTCATTATTTTCAAATGGTGTAACGATCAAGTTAATCAAGTTAATCGCTCGTTTGTCTAGGCCTAGGTCTATTGCTGAAAAACACCCCAACTATCATCAGAAACAATCTTTGCCCGAAGAAACGGTTATAGAAATATTTTATAACTCATAGCATTTCGGCGCTTATCTGATTATTACAGGATGCCATTAAAAAATTTAAATTTGAAATCTCCCAACTCGGAAGCTTTTGAACGCTTACGTTCTGATCGGCTAAAATACATTTTTAGATATCTGGTAATGCTCTTTATACGTTACTCGTCTAAAAACTGTGAATTATTAAATGGCTGAACTGTAATGCTCCAATTATTGGGTTTAAATCGGCAAGAGTGGGCTGAAAATTACAATTTATGTTGACAATGTTTCAACACCGTTCTCAATTAAAATGATTTATCCTTTTGTAAAATCTTCTAATAAGAAAAATGGCCGGTGGAAAGATAACTATTTATTTTATAATTGCGAACCACTCCTATGAATACTTTTTTCGTGTCGTTCAATGTGAGGTATTGCAAATCAATTTTATTATTAAAATGGCGTTGTGTAACTTGGTTAGTAATGATTTAGTTAATTACATAAAACATACGTGACTAAATTTATGGTCTAGAGAGCATAATGGAGCGTTAATATAAAATGATTTGTTTCTAGTATTAGGTGCAGTACGAATGTCTTCCAATACGTTGT